CAGGCAGGAGTTGCTGCCCCAGATGAAGCAGAGTTTTTCTCCTGTGAGCACCAAAGGGCAGCAGAGGGACAACAACCACCCCCACCCCACCCTGAGTCTCCCAGCACGGTGCTCAGGAGAGAGCAACCTCAGACCTTGCAGGAACGGGGATGCCAGAGAGTGCCCCCACCCCCACCCAGGGCAGGGCCAGGAAGGAAAGGGGCAGGGCGGGGGGTCCGGCAGGGCTTGGGCCAGGCTCCCACGCAGCTGTCTCTCCGTACCAAATTATGCTTGAGCAGCGGCCTCGGCCTCGCCACGTTCCAGACTCCCTCCCAGGAGCCCCACCCCCCAGCCCCACGCATCCCCGCTGGGTGCCGAGCAAGAAGACCATATGGAGGGAATAATAAGACAATTAACTTTCCATTAAAGAATAATATATGTGGGTTTTAGGGAGGCAAGCGACAGCAATCCCTACCCAGCGGCATACTTCACACCCGCACCCTCCCAGCTCCTCCCAACCCCCGCCCCGAAGCACCCCACGTCCCAGTCGTCTGCACCAGGAGACAGGGGCCACCGCTGGGCCTCACCAGGAGGTGGCTGGATGGAGGATAGGACCGTGCCACGAGTTAGTGCACAGCCCCTGGGGATGGGATGACAGCTCCCAAGCTACAGGAACCCCGAGGAGGGGCTGGGCGGTGCAGGGGTGAGGCTCACTCCCCACTCTCATCCACTTAGCATGTACACAGGGGCAGCCCGGGCCAATCCTGAGGCAGGGGTTCACATGACCCGGGAGCTGCCTGCCTGCCTGCCTCTGGGCAGGGTGCACTGAACCCCAGTACTCTGATGGGAGGACCAACCGTGGGGTGTGGAGGTCCCAGGGCTACTTCCATCTTCTGGCACATTCCTCATCTCAGCTTCCTTCCTCCTCTCCTGCCCCAGGCCCTCTACTATTTTGAGGTTCCCTGGCACCCTTGGCACTGCTGACCACCTGGGACGTCCAGATGCCCATAGCACACCCTCCCCAAGTAGGCACAGACGACAAGCCTCAGTGTGAGAGTGGGCGTGTGTTTAGGGGTTGGTGGAGTCAGCTGGGGCAGGGAAAGGCATGTCTCAAAGGCACCTGAAGGGGTACCCCGTCCCGCCTCCCGGAATGGGGCCCTGGATGTGGCCAGGCTTTGCTTCTTGCAGGGATCCAGCTCCAGATGTGGCACTCTGCGAATATTAATTATACATTCCCAGGGAGCACTGAGCAGAAGCAGTGCAGACACGGCCAGGGGCAGACAAGATGGGGCCATTACTGGCTCCGAAACGCCACTCGTGCCTGCCCAGCAGAGGTGAGGGCACATGGACATCACGTGCCTGAACCATGACCATCCAGAGGCACACTGCAGGGCAGGGAGCAGGATCCCCAAGTCCTGGGGTCCACCTCTCTGTAGATGCAGGCCCAACACCTCCCCCTGCACACCACCACTCAGGGCTGGCCTGCCAGGGCTCCTAGATGGGACTGGCCGGTAGAGGCAGTTGGCCAGGGCCTGGGTTTCCCCATTTTGTGATAGGACCATGGTCAGATCCAGATTAGGAACCCACCCCCGAGGTGGTTCCTCCTCACATCTGATGACAATCTCTCCTGCTCTGCCTTCCCACCCGAGTCCCCGAGTCACTCTCCTTGTACCCTCGACAGCCTGCCAGAAGGGTTCCTGTGTGTACCTGTCAGAGTGACCTGGGCTTCAGAGAGGGGAGACCTGCCTATCTTCACATCCTCCCCCAAGCACCCCCAGGGACCTGATGAATTATTCATCCTGATCAGCCTCATTATGCAAATGAGCTAAGAGCCCAAGCATATGCTCCGTGCTCTCCCCCAGGATGGGGACAATATGGTGCTGATGGAAGAAGGTGGAGAGGGCGCTGGAGATGGCGCTCCACCCCCAAGGGGCTCTGGAGAGGACAGACCGCAGCAGGGGCCATGCTTCTGTGGCCTGGTCCAGGCAAGAGTGGGCCAGGCTGGGGTACCCAGGAGGGTATGGCTTAGGGGACTGGGTAGCAAGAGGACAGCAATGGCAAATGACACCAGGCCTAGCAGAAGTTCCTGTCATGAGCTGGCTCTAGGTTAGATGGGGAAATGTGTGGGGGTCTTCGCAGCCGGCACCCACTTCCTGCTGAGATATGCCATGGTTTTCAACCTGCAAGTGGGCCACAATCTGCCCCCAGCCAAGCCCACAGGGTTGTGGTAAGGTCAGGAGGAGGAAAATGCCAAGGCAAGGAAAACGCTCCCAATGCCACCGTCTGCAGTTTCTGCACTTGTACAGCTGCCAGCCCTCGTGGCTCTGAGCTCCTGGGGGCGGGAGGGGCAGGCAGGGAGGACAGCCACGGAGGGGAAGAAGGCCGAGATGGCTCGGATGCCAGGACTGCTCAGCTGCGGGTGGGTGGGGCAGCTTGGACTCAGCTGTAGGAGGCCTCAGGAGGGGCTACTCCCTTGGGGACCAAGGCTGTCAGCTTGATGGAGCTGGTGCCCGAGTCCAGGGCAGCATCCACCGCTGGGCCAGGCTCTGCTCCAAGCCTCCTGACCTGTCAGAGTCATGCCTGGATCGGGTACCTAGGCCTCTCGTGTGTACTGGAAGGAGAGCAGTGGTGGCTTGGTCAGGGTCACGGGTGAGTTGTAGCAGGGCGAGGAGCCAAACCCGTTGGCTCCTTCCTATTCCCACGGGGTTGCCCTCTTCCTCTGGAACTCTATGCCAGCCTCCCACCTCTCCAGAGTGCCCTGGGCCAAGAAGCAGCCCCAGAGCTGTCAGCAGGAAGGAAGAGATTGAGGAAGCAGGTGAGAAAAACTGGGGCAGGACAGAGAGCTGGCAGTTGGCAGGCAGGGGGCTGCCAGCAAGAGCAGGACACCAGGTCAGCACTTCTCCGCTGCCTGCCGCCAGCTCAGGCCCGGCTCATCCTGTCCACCCTACCAAGAGGGGAGGCACAGCCAGGGCAGCATCCTGCAGCAGGAGTCAGGAGACCGAGCCCGGCCCCCACTGCACGACCAGCTTGTGGGGAAGACACCCTCGCTGGCTGGAGAGTCCCACCACATGAGAGGGAAACACATCCTAAGAGAGAACAGGACCTACCAGGGAGATTCAAACTTGCTTTCTGGAAAAGGCGAGGGGTCTGCACCAGCCTGTCCACCGCCATCCTCGCACACTCTTCCCAGCCACGCCACGGTCAGGACCGACCCCCCGGGAGCACGCAGTGGCTGCTCTGGGCCAGGATCCCATCCCTGGCCTTCACCATCCAGGGAGATCAAAGGCTCACACTGGAGCCCCAGGCCTGATGTGTGCGTGGTATTTTCTCTCTGACAAACTTTCAGAACATACAATAAACAACGTCGTCCAGCTAAGGACCCGAGGCTCGGAGGGGCCCTGACCTGAGGCGCATGGGTAACCCCTTCTGTGGAGTGCACTGTAGGTCCCGCTATGTAGCCAGGAGAGGTGCACAACGCACACTGCAAGAACGCTCCTTCCTTCATTAGCCCACGCGGCTGCACTTGGCAGTGCCCACTTAGAGCCTGGTTAGTGCTGAGTGCTGTTCCTGAGCCTAAATTGACTCCTGTTCCGGAACAGCCTTTCCTACAGCGCTTTCTCTGGAAGGCTCTGCTGGCTTCCAAGTGCAGCTGAGTCATTGAGAGTTCACAGGAAGAGAGTGGGACGGGGGCTACTGCAGTTCCAGCCAGCAAACCAGGAACGGAGCAGTTCTCAGGCGCCGGGCGCAGGGCAGCGGGAGAACACGCAGCAAGCTGGTGGCTCAGACCTCCGGGCCCGGACCCCCTTCCCTGCCTTGCCCACCTTGTTAGCTGCCCTGATCAGCCCCAGGCTATGGCAGACGTCTAACATCAACACACTAACCGGCACCTCCACTTCCCACACACCTGCAAGAAGCACAGGGAAAGGACTAAGGATGCCCCCCATGCACCCTGACCCCCAGAGGTCGCATCTGCTGACCCTGGCCCTGAACAAAAAGAATGACAGGAAGGCAGGGGGCTAGCCAGTCAGAGTCCTGGGCCTGGAATCACAGTAACTCCATTTGTTCTGCTGTCCCCAGGCCAAGTATCAGCAAGGAGAGCCCCGCGAAAGCCCCTGCTCAGTTCTGGTCAGCGCCTCCTGGCCCAAGCCTCCAGCTATGAGATCCCCAGTGATCCACACCGCCCCCGGGAGCCCCACTCCCACCACCCAGGGGCACCATCTCCGAGCCTGCGTTTCCACATAAAGCGCGGCGGCTGCGGAGCCTGCAGCCTGACAGCAACACATTTGGCAGCCTTCTGGGGGAGACGGATGGGCTGCTCTCCACATCACTATTTCAAACATTAACATAATCTCCCAGGATGAATGTGGTTGCCGGCGCCCAATCAATCACCCCTCCCGCACCTTGCACCCTCATCCCGCCTCGAGCAGGCTTCCCACTCCTCTCTCACCTGCCATGCGCCTCAAGCGCTGCTTCCCGGGGACATCTGGCCCAGCCATCCCCTTCATTTTGTGGACAGTCCCTTGGGCATCTGGGCACCCTGCCCCCACTGGCCCCTCCAGGGCCTGGGCTCCCACCGTAGTCACTGCCTCCAGCACACAGCTCACCCACCTGAACCCTCAGACACCCATGCCCTGACAGAGGCAAGTGGCAGGGTCAGAGGGGACAGCTCTTAGCACCACAGTCACAAGTGTGTGACCAGGCCAAGCAGTCCCAGGATGGGCCCGAGAGGCAGGTGGCTTGAGAGCTGTTGGGAAGGTGTGCTTGGTGGGAGGAAGGAATTAGGTGCAGGAAAGGTGACAGGTCATCAGGCACCAGGGACCACATTCACACTCAGGAAGAGCAGGCCAAGACGGGGGTGGCGGGGTGTCACTGCTTGCCCAGTCATTTCCCCCACCTGCCTCCCCACCCCCATCCAGCAGCATCCCGCCACACCGGAACCTCAACCATCCGAATACTCCCGGCTACTCAATTCTGAAGCCCCACCCCATTCCCACTAGGAAGAGTGTCCCTGCAGGCCTCACCTCCCGGAGCTGCTGGACACCTCCGAAAATGCGCATCACACCTTCGATCTCCTGCTCCAGGCGCCGGGCCCAGTGCTGCACCCTGTGTGTGGAGAAATGGAGAGCTGAGTCAGGAGGAGCCCCTGCCACCCAGGGGTGCCCCAGCAGCCACCCACTCACAGCCCAGTTTCCACTAGAGGAGAAACAGAGGCAAGGAGCCAGAGCGCGCCTGCGACTCCCCTTTGAGGCCCTCTCCCGGCACCCGGGTGCCCCTCGTGTGCTGTGGGCGCCTGGGGCAGAGAGGACCGTAGAGAGAGCTCAGTGGCTCCAGGAAGCCGGCAGGGAGAGAGGTTTTCCCGGAGAAGAAGCAGGCCTTGATGTAGCCGCCTCTAAGTCCAGAGTCCAAGCCCAAGCCCCTACCCCAGCCCCCTGCTCCAGAAACCAGGGAGTCAGGGACAGGAGGGCGCTAGGTGGGGTCTGCTAGGTACTGACCGTCCCCAAGATCAGGTGGGGCCCAGGAAACACAGCTGTCACCACATCATTGTGGAGCCTGCGGCTCAGAGGGCCCTGGTTGCCCAGCAGGAACCCTGAGGGCGCCCAGGGCCCAGTGCAGGCCCTCCTTTCCCTGCTGCTCTGGGGGCCGAGTGAGTCTCATGAGCCCCAGGACCCCTTCCCTGCACTACAAGCCTGAGCAGGCCTCCCTCTCAGCGGCGCCACCTGGGATCGCTGGAGCCCCTCTCCACCCGGGCTTCCCCTCTGCAGCATGGGGTGAAGGTGGGCCCCTGAGGGCACCACAGGCACACACAAGAAAAGGGAGCCGAGGGCGCTTTTGTGAGAGGAAAGGAGGGACAGGCGGTTACGGGGCCCTGCATCCCTGGCCCCACACCCCGGGAGAGAGAAGGGATCTGTGCAGAGGCCTTGTCAGGGTCCAAACCCTTCAGACTGCCGGCTCAGGTGAACTCTTGCCGGAGGTCACCAGAGGGCAGAGTTCCACCCCTGGAAGCAGGGCTCCCCGGCCCCTGAAAAGGACCTTGACTTGCCCTTCCCACCTGACTCGCTGCCCGCGTAAGGACTGTGGCCCTTGTGGGCGGCCCACAGGAGAAATCACCACAAGGGTTTAAATAGGCCATGGATCAAGCATAGCCAACAAGGTGTGGTAGGGGGCAGGTGCTGACAGCCCGCCGCCCCGGAGAGGTATGCCAGGATCCACAGGGCCCAGGAGACTGCCGCTGGCCCCAGTGCCCTGCCCTGATCCTTCCAACTCCCCTAGTGCCACTGGGGATCTAGAAGGAATTCTCTTCTAGATCTCTAAGTCCAGATTCCAATCCCTAGCCCCTACCCCAGATCCCTCCTCAGGCCTGTGGCTGGGGGGCTGGGCCAATGCCATTGTATGTGCCCGGGTCGGTTGGCATGGGAACTTGGAGCAGGAGGAGGGCGGATCACTAATTGCAATTTGCAAAGCTGAATGTCAGGACCGTGATGGAAAAAAGAATCAACATCAAAAGAAAGCGGTATTAGCTTTGGCTTGTTGCTGGGTGAGCCACAGCCTGATTCCCACCTCCGCTCCCCATCACCGGGGGAGAAACACAGCCCCGAGTCCACGTGGCACCCAGGCTGCCGGCTGGGTTAAGGCAGGCAGGCAGGCCACAGCACCAGCCCATGGAGGCCAAGATGCAGATGAGACTCTCGAGCCGCTTGGCCCCTGGCTGCTGGCCACCAGGCGCTGCTCTCTTGGCTCTGGCTGTGGGTGGACAATGTGGCAGGTGGCTCTTTGTGCTCTTGAGATGGAGCCCTGGTGGTGAACGTTGGGAGGGGCTGCCACCAGTTCCGTGTCCAGGCAGGCAGGTGGCAGACAAATGGGCAGGGTCGAGGATCTGACCTCCAAAGGCAACAATTAGCCCTGCCCTGGCTCTGACCCCGGCTCAGCCATTCACTGGTCTAGGGGACAAAATGCCAACCGTAATCCTTCCAGATCACATCCACTGTGTGCAAGGTGCAGCACCAGTGTGTCACCCGTCCTCACAAAGCAGCAAATGTGATCACCCACAACGTACAGATGTGGAAACCGAGGCACTGAGGGTCCCAGTGACTTGCCCAAGGCCACCAGCCAGGAAGTGGGGAACATGGGACTCGACCCACAGATGTGGTGCAGTCGCAAGAGCTGCGCTCTCACCTCCACCTCGAAGCACGAATCCATCGTAGCGGGAACATTTACACCATAGAAATCATGGCTGCCTCCCTCCCAGAGAGCAAACTGCAAACATTACCAGCATGCCACCGTGCCGCCCTGGGCTGTGGATCACTTTCTGCCCCACAGGTCTCTGTTTCTAGGATTTCACGGGCAAGTGGAAGAACATTAATTGGGAAGACAGACATGGACGCCAAATTCTTATTTTCCTCAGACAACGCATGATTATAATCTCCATCATTTCCTCTAAAAAGTCTACTGCGACACCAAAATAATTTTTAGAAGAACCAAATCTCAGGACAAACGTCAATTCTTCCACAAGATACATTCTCCACCCCCTGCACCTCCCCATCACATATGCATGCAAACCAGGCTGAGCAGCCCTAGATTCTGCCAGGGGCCGCGGGGCCTGGCCCACTGCAACACATCGGGACACACTCACACTCTCCTGGGCCTTGGGCTGCTCTATAGTCTGGCACTCTGGACCTCACAGCAGCCCCCAGGCCCCAGCTCCACCGCCTGTCAGCAAATGCCAGAGAAAACAAGTTACTCTGATTATTCACCTAAATCAAACCCAATTAGGAAGGCAATGTGTGTGTCCTCGAGTTAAAAAGAACATGATGGATCACTCTTCTCAGCGTCTCAGAGATGTGACTTTGTGGGTTCTTGGGTTTGGCCAGTGTCCTGGTGCCGGCTCCAGGGCTGACACAGGGGCACAGAGGAGCCAGGAGCTCACGATACACCTGCAGCATTCCAGCCTTGTGCCCACAGAAACCGCTCTCCAAGCCAAGCTCAACTCTGGCCAGACATAGTCGTCTTCACTCCAGAAGGGCGAGAGAAACACCAGGGTCAACAGCCCCACGGGGTTAAAGGCCAACTGACCAAACTGGCCCAGGTTCCCATCAGCGTGGGCCCCAGTGCCTGGCTCTGCCAGTGTGTCCCCGGCCAGACGGTGCTGCCATCGGGGAGATCCACCTATTGGCTGCCCACAGCCTTGTGACTCTCCATGCCTGTCGCTGAGATGCCACTAGTTACTCTAAGTGCTTCTACGTGCCAAGCTAACATGACGGTGAGCAGAGAGTGTCTGCGAGGAGACAAGCATGCACCAGGGCTGGGCTTCATGAATGGTGTGGCTATGAGAGGCCAGGAAATGAATCGCCTCCTCCAATGTGCCCACACCTAGGGAGGTGAAGGCACTGTGGCCCCATTTCACAGGAGAGAAAACTGAGGTCCATGCACTTAAGAGAGAAGCCAGACCTGTCCTCCTGACTCCATTAGCTCCATGATTTCCTTTTCCCGGAGCAACGCAGCCTCTGGGACGCCTCAAGGCAGAGGCGGCCTTGGCCAGCACCATGACCTTGGCATTCTGCTCCCTTGGAAGCTCAGCCTTCCCATCAGTGAATGGGCTAACAACGACTGGCTGAATAGCTTTATGGTCATATTCACTGTCCATCACTAGGCAGTCCCCTGAGGGCGAGAAACTCACCCAAAAGAGCCTCCTTCCCCAGAGCTGGGACCCTATGAGTACAGTGAACGCCTGGGGGAAGGTGGGCAGAGGGAGTGGCTGCAGGATGCCAAGGTCCACTTCAGAACAGAGAGTGGCAGGGAGAGGGGGGTGCAGGGGAGCCAAGCCATCCACGCAGACAGCCAGAGGCAGGGGAGGCCCCGGCTCTGAGGCCAGCTGCAAAGGCTCCTGCTGAGGGGAGGGGCAGGGCGGAGGGGAGAAAGGAGAGGCCGTGTGCGGATGCAGCAGCATAGATTAAACTGTTGCCAGTTGTTAATTTTATATGTGAAGTTGTTGATCAGAATGTGATTTAATTGTACAGTATAATCCAGGCTTTTGGAATAAATTATGCAGAAAACTCATCTATAATTAAACAAATCAAAAAACCAGAGACAGGTGACACTGCGGTTCACCCTCAGAGGGCACGGCATAGGGGGTGTGGGCGGCTGGACCCAGCACAGGGGCAGAAGGGAGGGCAGAGTGGCTTTGTTCAAGGGTTCGGACCCCTCAGCCCCCTCTGCAGGTCTGCCTGCCACTCATGCGGCAGCATTTTCTGCCTTCAAAGCCTGCTGCCTCTACCAGGCAGCCTGCCTGGATGGACGCTGTTCTGCAGGGCGGTCAAGTCTACGGCCATCCCCTCGCTTGGCAGGGCAGCCACGGCCTGTGTGGGGGCGAGGGGGTGGGCCCTGAGGGTAGGTGAAGTGGGAGGTGTGGACGGGGCTGGCAGTGGTGTGAGGGAACAGGCACCAAGGACACCACTTGCTGCCAAGGGCGCCGTGAACCAAACTCAGCAATGGCAGAGGCCCCAAGTCCCTTGCTTCTCCCGTGGCAGGTTGACCAGTTATTCTCCTAGCTCTGGGGGAGGCAACAATTTCGAAAAAAAGGCCACTTAATTATTCTGATTATATTTCAGCTGGCCTGCCACCTCCCATCTCAGCTCCTTCGCTGATGGCTGAAAGGGAAAGAAAGCAAGACGGCAGCAGGCAGGGTGGGGCAGGGTGATAGAAAGAAAGCCTAGGGAGTCCAGCTCCGGGACTCCCTGTGTGGAGCTGACCCCGCCCTAGCAGACGAGCAGCCACTCGGAGCTCCCAGGGCAGCTGCAGTCCCTGTCGAAGCCCAAGGCCACACTCCAGGGTCAGGGCCTCCCCAGGGCCACCTCCCACGGGAGTCCTCCTTGACCATTTGGGTCATTTGGGTAGGCATCCCTCTGTGTCCAGACTCAACTCTGGCTCTTCCAAGACCATGGACCAGACACGCATTCTTAGGCCTCAGTTTTGCCATCTGGAAAATGGAGCTAAAGTTCACCACCACATTCACCTCCCAGGACATAAGAGGCGGCAAGTGGGCCCCAGGGCACTGCAGACCCCCACACCCTCTAGTGCACACAGGTCCCTGGGACGGCAGGACCAGT